AGAGGGAAACAAGAGAGGCTTTTTTCCGGTCTTCAACAATTCATCATTAATGTTATCAAATAAATTTTGTCTATATTTTTAGAGAGAAACAAGAGAGGCATTTTTCCGGTCCTCTATAATTCGTCATTCATGAGGGAGAAACCTTCTTGCTGCCCTGCTGCCTTGACCAACTTGTGGGCACTATTTAACTTGCTAGGTTTTTCGATTGTTACCCTAAACTTTGTTTCCTCTAGAGCCAAAAATTTCATGTCCTTCGATTTAATCTAATGAATGCTTGCAGTAATTTGTTTGTTAATCAGTTTGAACTGGAGGATACTGAAAATAGAACATGAAGTTTGTATTGGATACTGGCTGTGCGGTCGGTATATCGGATGGGCCGCACCGTGCGTATTCGCCCAACAAAAATTGCTATGCTAGTTTTCGATGGACTTGAGTTTGGCTACTAACGGCACCTTAAGTTACTGGGTACTATTGAACTTATGGTAGCACGCATAACAGTTTTTGGGCTCTCTCAGTTTTTCTTCCCTTTTTCAATCTCCCCTCCTTCCCCCGTTCTATGGTATCTACGGCGGTAGATCAGTATATCGATGTATCAGTAAACCAAAAACGGGCGGCCCAGAACAGTACACCGAAAATTAATTATTCAATTACGTAATCACATTAGCTAAAAACTGAAATTTTTACAAAATGGCAAATTTTTTCCTCAAAACAAAAATTGAATCAAAAATGAAATTAAGTAGCTTTTCCCACGAGCCTCCGTGTTTTAAAATTATTGCTCTAGTTCTAGCTTAGGAAAAACTGATTCTAAAAATCTTTAAATCCGCAATTGAATTTACGTAAATCGGTTTACTGATCTGGTAATTTACTGACACATCGTATTACTGCAGGCACCCCGGTATCTACAGAAGAATCTCCACCCCTATATAAATATAATAAAATAGCACTAGAGCATTGTGTTGAGAATCCTAATTTTGCTGATTTCTGATTTTGCAGCTCTTAAACTACTTAACTATCTCCCCTATTCTCGAAATAATGAAACATATTACCATATTTCATTATTTTGTTCATTTTCTTCATTGGAAATCTGTTCAGATAGGTCTTTTTTCAATTAGCTATGTCTTTGTGAAACAGATCTGATAAATAAATTCTCGAAACCGTTCGTCAATTTTATATTGTGCCCGGGTTGAAGTCCCACCGTTAATTATCGCTTTTTCATTAGTACCCGAGTGATCGCTATTTTCCAGCGCTGATTAATGTATAATTTAAAGTTTTTTTGCAGAGCTAAGCCTGCGATGTTTCAGAGCTATTTCAGTAAAGATTCCGTAGAAAATCAGCGCTAAAAGTTAAGAAACTGTAATAGCTTTTAAACGACAGTACCACTTAAAATAAACGATAACTTGGTTAGAAATCAGGATTAGTGTCAAAGAGGAAGCAAACACGTCTACTAAGCTGATGGTTGTGGGATGGAACCCTGGTATCTTCATTTTTTTGCATATTTATAGGTTTTTATTGCTGTTCCAACGCTAAAAATTAGCCGAAGTAGCCATAACCTATCGATAAAGTTTGCAATTATGGCAATGAACATCAGTAGTTCATCAATTGCGATGGCTTTTTTTAAAAATTTTTATCGCTAATATTAAATGTAAACTCAACCCGGGTGAATGTCAGCCAGTACGGGTGTTTTCAATGAATAATTTAATATAAGAATACTTTATGAATTTTCACTGCTGAACTGTTGCGTTAGGCTGAACAAGCTATTGCAGAGTTGATTTACAAAAACCGGATAAAATGAAGAGTGACTGACTTTTCAAACTCGTTTTTTTTCAAATTTGGTTGAGTTTGGCCGGAAAAGATGAGAACAAAAAATGCTCGCAACTTACCAGCTTTATTAAGGTGCATTTTTATGCAAAATTTTGAACTAAAATCACACCCTTAAATGGTCATATCATTTGATTCAAAACTGTAGAGGTAAGAAGGGTCATTTGATGTAACAACAGCTACACTTGAAAATTCTTACTTCCCTGTTTTGGACCAAATGGATTGACCCGTTTTAAGGGTGTAATTCTGGTTCAAAGTTTTGCAAAAAAAATACACCGTAAAAAGCTGGTAGGTTTCCACGCAATTTTTGTCCTCGTCATTTTTTGGTCAACCTCAACCAATTTTGAAAAAAAAAAATTGAAAAAAAACGAGTTTGAAAATTAAGTTTTTCTCTGTTTTATCTGGTTTCACCATCAGAGTCCCGCGAATTTTTTCTGCCTTCTGCGAAAAAAAATAACACTTCAATAACAGAAATTTTTGTGAAATGAGAGAGGATTTTTAAAGAAAAACACGTTTCGAAAACACCCTGTACACCTTTAATCACTTTTTTTATCGTCGGTAAGAGATCATCATATGTATTGCATATGTTTGGTAGCTTTATCTTGCGACTTTTTCAGGTTTTAGAAGATCAAAAAATAATTGTTTTGAATTTAATTTTGCTTGTCATCGCTAGCCAGCGAAATACACGAACGTATACACCTGAGCAAAATCAACTTTCAAGCAAAACCAACCAAATCAAGTACCTTTGAACCGCCTTTTTATTAAATTAAAATATTTCGTTTTCGCTTTCCTATAGCTTTTCAGTATCTGTTCTATCTATTGTTCCGTTGTGCGATCTTATCACACAAGCTTGGTAACAACTGATTTTTGATGATGTTGCGCTGCGCCTCAGATTTGAAATTTTCAACTTTTTTGTTTTTCTGATCATTGGTTTTTTGTCAATAATATTCTGAAATTGTATTAGGCGTCCGGGTACGCATTTTTTGGTCCAAGTTAACATTCACCCCCTAAACACGTTTAGGGGGGAGGATGTTAACTTGGTTCTAACTTGGGAATTTTCAGCCAATCAGAATCGAGCATTTTACATGCAGCGCTTAGCAAATTTAATTTAATTTAAGCGCTGGGGTGGAGGGTCTTAACTTGGTCTATTAGGGGGAGGATGTTAACTTGATCCCATTTTTCATCTCTACTGGAACCAAATTGGTTTTTACAAACTAGATTCGAATCTTGATCTCGTGTAACTGTTCTCAGCTTATCTTCGATTGGTCTCGACATATTCCCTCGGTGTTTAACTCAATTTTAAGTTAGCAATTATCATACCAATCTCAATATTTTCCTCATCACTAATACCTCAAAACTGCTAGTATGTTTCTGTCCGTTTTTTGCATATGATAAGGTTCTTCAAAAATTTCATGTTGTTTTCAGAACAAAACTTTACTGAACCTGCTCATTTACAATGCTTTGCAAGATGGCCTTTTTTCAGATTCCTTGCTGGCCAAATCTCATTCCTGGGCAAATCTTCATTCCCGAATACCTGATGACCTGATTTGTTGCAGTTTGCGTCAGCATTACCCTTTTATCTACGTAACAATCACTACAAAAATTAACAGGAGAAACTTTTGACAAAAATTGTTCATGTTTTTTTATTGCGAGTTTGGTTACGACTGCTTCGTCTTTTAGACACAGATGAAATTTCATGTTCCCGTAAATTAATTTGAAATTTTGAAGTTCAAGTTTTCTGTTAATCATTGCCCAGCTTTTATACAATGTGCTTAGCGGTTAGGTGAACAATTGGGATGTAACCTCTTAAATTGGTCCATTTGGGGGATAATAATTTGATTACATAGGCTAAATATTTATAGGATTCCACTAACGGTGGAGAAATAATGACAGAAACAAATACTCGCTAATGAGAATTGGGAGAAACCCACTAATAAAAGATGACTGCATCATAAAAAATTAACATTACCAATCAAAACTGAATATTTTAGAAAAACAAATCGGAAGCCAAGTGATTATTAGCGCGAAGCGCGCCCAGCAAGCCACCGAGGTAGCTTTTCCGCAACAGGCCAAAATCAGATTTGTCGCGAACTTTTGTCGCGGACAGATTTGTTTGCAAAAAACTTTCCAACGAATCCGAACACGCAGCGGTCCAAGACAATTCTGATTGGTAGAAAATTTGAATCTATCTTATTTTCAATCAAGATGATGAGAATACAGAGTTGGCTTAAGTTTTTTGGACACAACGAATAAAACTTGAAAATTAAAACTAGTTTTTCTCAAATTGAGTTGACCGCAGGCAAAAAACAACTTGCTCAAAGTCTTAGCAGAATTGATATGGTTCAATTTATATTGCAAAATTTGGATGCAAAGTTTAAGTTGAAAAACGACTATTTTATAGTACTGTTGTCAATAAAAAAACGATAAAGCTGTTGGCTCAATTACTGAGACAAATATATCGAAAAGAGCATGCTATATAGCCCAACAAAATTTAAAAGGGTATAATCGTCTGAATTTTCTATAGTTTTATTTATTTTCGTTTTGTAGCCAAAAATGTCAATTTTTTTTATTTAAAGTAACAACTTTTGTTCATAACGAAAGTAACGGAATATTTGTGTTCGGGGTGTTTTTTTCTTCAGACAAGTTTCTATAGTTTGACAAGCCATATTTGACGAAATTTATTCATACATTAATTAAAAAACCATTTTGTACTTTATATGGCGTGTGGGTAATGATTTTCTCCAAAAAAAAGTCACTCAAAAAAATTTCAAATTTTTTTTACTAAATCTTTTTATTACGTTTAATTTTTTCATGTTTTTACTGCTCCATAGACCTGAAAAAGCAGTCACAACTTTCAGGGGTTCGCCCTGATACGAGTAGTCTTGTTTTATTTACAAACAATTTTTTGGACGTTTTATCCCAATTTTTCGAGATTATACTATTTTTAATTTCTGGTGGGATATATCAGAGGCTCCTTTTGATGTATTTTTCTCAGAAATTGAACCAAACTTTTTAGCGTGTTTTTGATCGACTATGAAAAGCCAAAAATGGTCGTTTTGCGGTTAATTTTTTTTAATTTAATTTTCGGGTACAACCTTTTTTTGTCCTGAGTCAACCCAATTTGAGAAAAAGAATTTTTAATTTCAAGTTTCATTCGTTTTTTTTTCTGCTCAAAGAGTTACCTGAAAAGGGCGCAATACCTTCCGTGCAAAGATAAAGATCCAGGAAGAACGAAATCCAGTGCGGTTGATCTAATTCTATTGTGAACGATAACAGGTCTTGAGTTTCTGGCTGCTGAACTATGTATTGTAATCGCTGAAACAGTTATACGATGTATTGCATAATTCATAACTTTTTTAAAAGGCTGTCTTCTGGCACACTGTCTGTTATTATATTCGATAGATTTGCTCAAAAGCGGGTTTTTCTGTAGCACCCACTCCTATGTTCATTTGATACGTCGAGCCTAGTCCTATAATATGCAAATGCGCCAATCAAAACTCTTCAAAGCTGAATTTTTTGCATATAGAAAAACTCATAATCCTTAAAGAGATCTCGCGAAATCAATTGAACTGCGAAAAATACAAAAATAAACGTTCTCCCGAAATTCGCATAAAAATTAGACTCGCCAACTGCTCATAATAAGATTTGGGCCATTTTTTCTTGCATCAGGAGTAACTTTTGAGTTTTTTTCGTACGTTGGGGAGTGGTGGTGAAGTGATTACGTCTCCGCCTCTCAATCGAAAGGTCGGATGTTCGAGGCACACCATGATCCGTGCTCGTTGCCTGAGGATAAAAAAATAAAGACCAGCCCAGAAAAATAACCAAACAAATTGCATGTAGTTCTTAAACAGGGTCACAACAGTTCATTTTGAAGAAAAAATAGAGTTGCTGATGATAACTATGTAGTACATAGTGTCTCAGATAAAAGTTTTCTGAATAAGCCAAACTTTTTTATAATTATTTGAATTGAGGCGCTACAAAATTGAAAAAATATGGTCAACCAGATTTTTCAATCGTATTGATAATGTTTTTAAGAGCAATATCAGTTAAGTCAATCAAAAGATAGAAACATAAACTGTCGCAACCGTCTCAGATATTTTTTTTTTCATAGTTTTTTTTTGAAAATTGATCATTTATACCCTAAAACGTCAAAATTCATTCGCAGTAGACAGTTCATTGAATTGTCAAACATAATGAGCTGCAAACGTTTAAAAACCAAAAGAAAGCTTTTGCTTTACTGCCATCACAGTTATGAAGGTCAACCAAGAAACAATAAAAAACTGCGTTCAAGCGTCTTGAGAAAATTTGAAGAAGAATTTTTGTTTTCTGTCCTTGTGCTTGTTCAGTTCAAACATAAAAATTTTTTGTGCGATGATTTTTCGTATGGTTTTGGGGTTCAAAAACTGCCGCTGTGAAAACACGCGCTGTGAAGATTTTATTTTTACCGCTGATTTGTCATTAGACATGCATATTAGGCTAGATAATTAGTTTTTGCGTTGTTTATTTTTGCGATCGGTTTTCGTAAAGATCTAGGATTTTAAAAATTGCCAAACTGGTCATGCTTTGGACTAAACTATACGCGCTGTGAAGATTTTATTTCTGGCGTTGAACTCTTATTGGTCACGCTTGTAAGGCAGGCTTTTTACTCATACCATTCTCCTATACAACTCCAATTTCCACACTTAACTTGTGATATTAGCAGTTTCAAATTTCCAGTAAAACTTAAAGTTTCTATTTAATTCTTGTAAATTTGCTTGTTAAAGTGAACATTTTTGAGACCAATTGAAACGCAGTAAAATAATGCATTATTTAACGTTCGCCAAAACTGTTCAAGGTTCAATACGAGTAGTCTTGTATGAAAATTAAAGTTAAAGGTTAACAGCCCGTAAAATTTTGCATTTTAGATTTTTCAATGTACGATGGCCTGAACAGAGAGTTTTGCATCATCTCATCAAATTTTTTTTTCATGTTGAGTCAAACTTTCAGTAACGCAGCTAAATACTTAGTAAAAAACTGAACTTTTGAGAAAGTTTACCAGAAAGATGCTGTTAATATTTTTTTGCTCCATTTGAAAAAGATGTCTTACCTGAAAATAAAAGAATCAAAATTAACAAGGCAATAAGTTTTGTAGGGTTAAATCTTGAGGCCATCGCGACTTGTTCTCAAACTGAAACTTCTTCCTATTTATCATTTGTCGAACAACTTGATTGCATAACTTGTTTGAAGAAAATTAATTATTTGTTTGTCTGAAAATGACCTTTCTCTTGTTTATCCCAAAATACAACCTTAACCTTCTATTATTTAGGGCAAATATGGAACTGATACTTTTAATTCAATTAAAATGTTACCCATATCCAAGTATCGTGCAAAAACTACTTTAGATTTTCAAAGTATCGTCCAAAAACCACTTTAGAGTTATTGAATTTCATGCAACATTTTGCGCCTAAAACTTTTACGTGGTACCACTATTGCAGCTGTAATAGGTCAGGCTGTTTTAGACCTGAAGCTAGAGGTCAAGTGAGAGCTCGTCCTCACACACTATCAGTGCCTTATCAGGGGATCGATTACACCATCTGACGATCTCGAAGTGAACGCCGTACCACTACCCAAGTGCCCTATTCAATAATGTCCAAAAACTACTTTGGATTTTCCTGTTCTTGAATCGCATGCAACGTGCAAGGTCATATTCACTAACCGCCACGCAACTTCTGTTCTTGTTCAAAAGCTTTCCAACAAATCCCTTTTCAGAACCACATTATGTTATCCATTTTGACTGACACACATTATAAGGAAGCTTCCAACGGAATGGTTTTTACATTTAAGTTAGATAAGGGGCGCATGCAACATAAAAGTGATTTCATGGTTAATAAGATTCAAAAAGTGATTCAAAACGCTACTGTAAAAAAATGCCTGCAGCGCAAAATAACATCTGCATGATACGATCGCAACAGGTTCGATCAAGATTAAATCTTTGAATCAAACAACGATATAATTGTAATCCCATACCAATCAGATCTATCAATCTGTTCATCCCCCTCGATTCAAACTCAAAGACATCTTTATCTCAGAAAAATGTGATTGGTCTGTCAAACGATTTAAGTTCTGGACAAGGTGTTTTTATAAGCTGGAGGAATTAACTCGAGAATCAGACGAATCATTATGATGAACCAATAAATGTTGTCACTTGTGTATCGTTCTAATATAATTATGTGGTAATGCTTTGGTTCTGTTGTTGATATGTCACAATCGGCGCCATAAATTTATTAGGCAAAATCCAATAAAAACAAACAATGCACAGCTGTCGCCTTCATTGTCCGGGTCGAGGTCCGCGACTTAAGAAAAGACTTTATAAGTCGCGCCGCATACCGTTTTAGGAATGTACTTCGCAGTCGCCCCACGTGTTTAAGCCACGCCTTCAGTCTTTTCTTAAGAAGAGCCTTCAGTCTTTTCTTAAGTCGCGCAGTCAGTCGTTTTTTTAAGTCGCGCCGTCAGTCTTTTCTTAAATCGCGCCGTAAGCCCGGGTTAACCTTCATAGACCAAAAATGCTAATCATACAATTCCATAAATTAAGTCTATGAAAAAATACTAATAAAAAAAATTCATTTATTTTGCAAAGAGGGAGCTATCGAGTTTTTGGAGAACTTGTTTCTGTTTTGGCATAAAATTTTCTGTATCGTACTAAATAAAAAAGAAAATAATTTTTTCGAAAAAAATGCTAATCACACAATTTCCATATATGAAAAATGTATGACTAGTTTTTTTAATGACCACAACAAAAAAACTTTCCAAGTAATTTTGAATTTGTCCCAAAAATTTTTTTGTTTTTTTTTCAATCGCAAATCGAAATTTGTACTTAAACAAACATTTTTTAGAAAAAAAAGCTCTGAGTGCAAAATATAATTTTTGAGCTCATAATGTAGTTCTGCTTACACTAATATCAGATTTTTTTTACTTTTTGCTTATTAAATTCTTTCAAAAACGCTAAGAACTACTATTTTGTTTTGTATGGCATGTTTAGGCATGCCTTGATTAGTACCTGATAATTTAAAATTTCAAATTTTGAAAGTAATCTTCGTTGAAAATTTTTGCCAACATATAAAAGATTGATGTTTTAGTTATATTATTTGTGTCAGACAGAAATAAGACATTTCAGGCCAAAAAGCGATATAGTTGTAATCTCATACCAATCAGATCTATCAATCTGTTCATCACCCCCCTGCTTCGAAAAAATTTCCAAGCTCAAAGACATCTTTATCTTAGAAACATGGGATTGATCTGTCGACTGATTTAAGTTTTGCACAGATATTTTTATAAGCTGGAGGAATTAACTCAAGAATCAGACGAATCATTATAATGAACCAATAAATGTTTCACCTGTGTATCTGATCACCCAAATAGTGAAATACTTTGCGGCCTGTTTTTGTTCGAGGCAGTTAATTTTTGGGAATTTTTTCCTGCCAAATTTTTGTTTTTCCATTTTTGATACTTACTTTGTAATACTTAACTGAACAAGATTTTTGGCAAGAGAGAATCAATTATTTGTGTAAGAGAGAATCAAGACATTTTGGGCCGTTTCCAATACATTTTTACTGCGAGACGGGCAAATTTTTTTTCAATTTTTTCTTGAGTTGCGCCGTAAGTCTTTTCTTAAGTCGCGCCGTGAGTGTTTTCTTAAGTAGCGCCGTTCAGAAGTTATTATGAAAAAAATTAATTGGGGAAACAAAACAGACTAGACTGAGCTGAATAATTGATGTAATATCTGTCAACCACAGACAGCGATAACTAGTTTTTTTTAGCGATTGCAAAAACAGATAATTGAATAGTTATTCAACAAAAAATTGAAATGTTTTCTATGTTTGGGTAACTAAAAAATGCATTTCAGAACGAACTAATTTGAGCTATTTTAAACGTGGCATTTTTTTTTTGAATGGTAATGCGTAGATATATCAGTTCAATGAATTTTATCTGGGACGCCATAGAACAAACATGAGAAAAAATTCAAAATTTTTGAGCTTTGATTATTTTTATTGTTCCGATTTTCCTGCTTACAATTTTTTGTTCCGATTTTCGATTTTACGAAAGTAACGGAATATTTGCGCTCGGGTGAGGTTTTTTTCTTCAGACAAATTTCGACTTTTTAACTAGCAATTTTTGACAAATTTTTTTCATATCATTCAAAACGTATTGTTGACTTGTGATTAAATTGAAAAGATATTTCACCTGTGATCGTTTTTTGCAAAGTTATGGGTGTTTAAAGATTGCCATTTTGTTCAATTTGGGACAACAAACGCGCGATATTTTTGGATTTTATATGGTTGTGGGGAGATGACTTTCACAAAGAATCTCAAATTTAAGAAAAAAAAATCATTTTTCTTATTATATTTAAGTTTTACAAGTTATTATTGCTCCATAGACCTTAAAAGGCAGTCGAAACAATCAAGGCTTAGCACCGGTTCGAGCAGTCTTGTTACGCTTTGCAGATGTTTTAATTTATTTCGAGTCGAAATGCTAGCGTTTTGATCAACTTTTCAACACACTATGTGTTGAGTGAATGTTTCTAAGGTTGTCGGGTTAACCCTGTCCTCTTCAAAGGCTATGCGCAATCCCGACAATCCATTGATAACAACTTCTGTTTTTTCATGCGGATTGAAAACTTGCGGAGTGAAAACTTGCGGATTTTTTTTTATCCAACATCATCTTCATGGAACTTTGTCGGGTGCGCTTTGAATTAATTTTTCAAACCAAATGCATTGGTTTATATTTTTGTTGGAACGTATGTAAGATTTGATTTTCATTTGTCTGTGCTGCCTTGAAATTGTTTCGATAGCTTTCGTACTTCGCTGTGTAGGTTTTTTTTACCTTTCGGAGCCTGACGATCATTTCAAAATTTGATTTAGTGTTATGACTTTGAAACTGTCTAGGTAATTTGCCACTGATGCAATTAGCCTTAGGATTCTTTCAACACTGCACCCGCATCCAAATTTAGGCGTAAATAATCGATTATAACGGATTATAATGATGATTTTTTGACAATTATAATCGATTATATTTACCAAAGTTAGGTCTTTAAGGAATTTATAATTTTTCCGAATCAATCATGAAACTAAATCAAATTGCTGATGTTTCGGTGCTTAAAAAAGCTTAGAATATGCATCACAAAACAATTCTAATGAAATGAAGAAAAAAAACTTATAAATTTGAATTAATTGGAAAACTTTAAAAATATTTTTCTCATTTTTCATAGGAGCCAACATCCACAAAAAACATAAAATATAAGCAATTTGGATGCAACTTCGAGGACAAAAATTGACAAACAAAAAGGATTATAATTAATTTCGATCGATTAATAATAGATTTTTGTGCAGAAATTTGAATAAAATAATGGAGTATAATCAATTATAATCGATTATAATTATATCGAAAAATAGACGAATAAATAATCGATTATAATCAATTGTAATGGATTATAATTAACTGTAATTTGACTTCAAAAAGAGAGATTATAATCGACTAATAATTGATTAAAATCGATTGTTTCTCAATTTTAGTGAAACTGGTACCAAAATTGTAATATAATCAATTCTTAACTTTTGAAACTGGATGCGGGCAAACAAACGCATTGTGATTATTTTAACTCATATTTGTGTTTACATAAAACTTCGCTATGCTTTTCGCACTTGTCATTACGCGTTCCCGCAAACTTTGATGCAATCGGTGGGTTTTATCTCCACAGTGTATTGTTTCTTCAATTTTCGGTGACCCTTATTGTTCTCTTTCTCTCAGACGTTTTTCTGTTTCAATGCACAAAACCCGGGTTGACCTCCATACACCGAAAATGCTTATCATACAATTCCATACATCAAGTATGTGGGAAAATGCTTGTCATACAATTTTCATACAATTTCTAAAAATGGTTGAAAACTGGTATAAACTCATTTCTGTGTGTGTTTGATTGTAATAAAACAATCTGGTGATAAAAAACGGAGGTTTTCGTTTTTTGAAAAAAATGCTTTTCATACAATTCTCATATATGAAAATTGTATGACTGGCATTTTTTTGGTGGCGACACAAAAAAATTTTCAAGTAATTTTGAAAATTTAGCCCAAAAATTTTTTTGTTTTTTTTTTCAACCGCAAATAGATTTTGGTACGCAAACAAACATTTTTCGAAAAAAAAATTTTGCATGCAAAATTTAATATTTTGTGTG